CGCGCCAGACGATAATGTCAGTGGCACACGCGACATTGCCGTCTGTTGGCGCGTCCACACCATTAGCAAGACACGTGACTGCGCGAAAAATTCCCGTCAGACCCTGGAGGAGTCCGGCCAGGGTGGCGTTGCAGTCTTTTTTAATGATTGTGGAGCTTTTGGCACACGTCAGGCAATCCCTGCGTGGTTTGACTGCTTACGAAAACGAACAAACTGTTACATTGATCCGTTCTATGAACAGGTGGGGTGTCGAAAGGACTAAAATACCCTGAACTTCTGCTGGAAAACTGTCCACGATCAAAAGCTGAGTTAAAAAAAAAACGTGTTCGAAAGAGTTCACCAGTGACGAAAGGAGGGGTTATCGAGGAGGTTTAAGGCTAATTTACATTAAACTCTAACGGCTACGATCTTCCAGGCCCGGTTTCTTAGGAGAGGAAAGGAGACACGGACAGGCCACAGTGGTAGGAAGACTATATTCTGTACAGACGGAAAAGAGAATAGTTAGGACGAAGTTTTGACTGCCGGAGTGCACGTCCTTCCGCCAAAGTGGCGTGATCCAAAGTGATGTCTACTGGCAACTACCGCACTGGGGTCTGTCCAGACGGGTTGAGGACAATCTACGAACGAGGGTAGTCTAGTAACGCGGGCACCTCAGTGGACGAATTGAGGTCAAGTCAAGTCAAGTTTATTAAAGGAAATATAGGCCAACGCCTTTGAACTCCCTCTTTTCACATAGTCTTTAAGAAATGCATCGGCACAGCCGAACATCGGAAGAAGTCGTTTACATAATTATAGGCGACTACTCGCTTGTTTCAAGTAATACACTCACATGTGGTGATGTTTCGACTACTCGCTTGTTTCAATTAATACACTCACACTCAGTTTACACGAGCCGATTACTCGCTTGTTTCAAGTAATAAACTCAGACTCAGTTTACACGAGCCAGCAGTGTAACTGAGGAAGAAGAGCAGAGGACTACTCGCTTGCTTCACGTAATACACTCACACTCAGTACACACGAGCCAGTAGTGTAACTGAGCAAAAAGAGCAGCCAGTGAAAAAACTCCTAAGGCTGGCTCATAATTCAAAATGGAATGTCATTT